TCATCCGACAAGTTATCATGGTTAGTTATTTACTGAACTTTTGCTTTTCAACAATTTATAATGTGAACTTTATTCATTATTTTACGATAACTATTAAACAAGTTAAATCAACCTATGAAATCATGAGTACTCGAAGAAAACCCACGTGGTCGGACAGGTGATCCCATACCTTATCACGTCCGACCGCAGAGTCGACCCCGGGCGTCTTAATACCGCCCACTACGTACACCACCCGACAGCAAATAAGTTATCATGGTTAAACATATATGGATCAACAATTCATATATATATACATACCATTTGAGAGGAATTAGCATTCATCATAGTGACCATGATTTCCGGCATATACTCGATGACGTAGATCATCAGCTTGCCCGTGTCAGTGGATGGATCCATCATTGCTGATTGAAAGCGAGTTAAAATTAAGTTAGTTTCGTTTATAATGATACGAAGGAGTAGAATGACACAAAATTACATAAAAAACGAACAACTATTTTTATTTGAAGTGAAATACAAGAAATAATCCACAAATTCAACAAAAATGACATAATTGATCACAACGGCAACACATAATTGACCACAACGGCTACACATAATTGACCACAACGGCTACACATAATTGATCACAACGGCTACACATAATTGATCACAACGGCTACACATAATTGACCACAGCGCCTACACATAATTGACCACAACGGCTATACACATAATTGATCACAACGGCTACACATAATTGGCAAAATTCACCACCATGTCAACACACAATTACAACTGCTGTTGACCAAAAGAAAAAAAAATAGAAACCACGAAACTACGGAGGTGTAACTAGATTATCCCAAACAGCGATTCCTGTCTCACATGTTTCCATAAAATATAGGGGAGCACGTAGACTACCAACGATCAACTTGTTATAATGAGGTCTTAGTGTATGTCAACAGGACGCATTTTTTTCAGAAAATCCTGATAGGGTCTTCATAGTTCAATATACTCAAAAATGGTTGTTATTTATTTCAATATTGTTATAGCAACAAACAGAAATAATGACAAGGTACTTACTTTCCATAAACTGCATTTGTTGTGTCATTGAATTCATCTGTGTATACACACTATATAACATAGGGCCCATCACGGACCACAGGGGCGTCTTCTCCAGCATAGGCCCGACCATGGTCACCATAGGATCCCAGCTGACAAACACAACACGTTCAATACAATTCAATATTTTTATTTGTCAATTATAGTTTCACAATTGCCTGAAGGCCAAACACAAGTAAATTAAAAGTAGAAATATTACGTATTTTAGCTATAACCTGACTTAAACAGAAATAAGGCCAACTCTCCTCAGATCCAGTTTTTATGAATCACAAAGAGTCCTGTGTTAAGATGAGAGAGTTTGTGTTAAGTGAAGGGCCATTTGGATTATATTTAGTCAAATAGTCGTCACCGATTGGTGAATTAATTCTACACCCATATAGGAAGGGATACATACACCCCAAATATTTCTCCGATAAAGATATACTGTTCGTTTGTTTGTTTAAACAATGCTTATTACGTAATTTGTTTATATTCATGTTGTGCTTTGGACCGTTACACGTATGCTTATATTCTATTTTTAGACATGTTTAGACGGCTGTTTCAAGATATGGTATAACTTCTATGAGACCATATACAGACTGGTGTACCAACTGCTTGTTCATAAATGGGAATAAATTATTAGCATTCTACGATAACTCGATAACTATGCTTACGTAATGTTTAGTATTGTCTCTCCTAGTACACCGTGCATCCTCATCCACTCTTCGTCCGTCAAATCCATGGACGATTCGACGCCACGCTTCTCCCACGGGTAATGTGGTGTCCCCAAAGCAGAAAGCCGTGTTGTTATATTCATCGCCACGGGATAAAGATCTACCATAGTCAAACGCGCCCCCACAGTGCAGTTATATCCTTCCAGGGACATACTAAGCTTCATAAAAGCATCTTCCATCTTTAAAAAAAAAAAAAAAAA